TATCTACTTCAGTAAAGGCGCCTCCAATATGGTAATTACGTACATATATCATCACTTTCCGTAAGAAGAAAGCACGAACTTACCTCGAACCTTCCATTTCTACAAATAGATACTCGAAAACTTGCTCACCAATTTTTCTCCTCTCTTTATAAAAACTCACACACATACACATTTGCTCTAATAATCACTGATAACAATGGCGACAAGAAGTAAAATCCCATCACTCTCTACAATTTTTTCTCTTTACACATCTCTCTCTGCTTTCACGATCTTGTTCAAAACCATTCTCCATGAGATTCTTCCCTTAAAAATCCGTACTTTCATCGTCTCTCGTTTCACAAACTACTTCTCTTCTTACTTCAACTCCGATTTCACATTCATCGTCGAAGAAAAATGCGATTACGTAACGAATCAGACTTTCCGTGCAGCTGAAGTTTACTTGCCTACTCTTCTCGCCGGAATCACCACCGGAAGTCTTCTCGTCGGTTCGAGCAACCTCAAGGACCCGATTGCTAAACCCAAGTACGGAATTCCGATAAACGCTAAAATCATCGATGAATTTGAAGGGATTCGTCTTGAATGGACTCTTCTCTCTGCAAAAAACGAGAGTCTTTACCAGAGTAAAGAAAAAAGGTAACTTTTCTCAACATAAACCCTATAAGTTTTTGTGACCAAAAAAAAAAAAACCCCTATAAATTTTTGTGAAACCCTGAAATTTGGTGATTTTTTCAAGCTAATCTGAGTCTAGTTATGGTTTATTTGTGATGAATTCGAATTTCTGACATGAAACCCTAAAATTTGGGGATTTTTCGACCTAGTCTGAGCCTAATTACGTTTTTTCTATGCTCTGTTTTGTGATTATATTCGTAGTTTTTGACATTGTTTTTCTTTTTTCAGGTACTTTCATTTGACATGTAAGAAGGAGTTTAGGGAGAAGATCATGTCAGATTACTTCATATATATTGCGAAATTATCGGTGAAGATATTAGCACAAAGAGAAAGTCTGAAGATCCACACTTACAATTCAGAGTTTCATGTATGGGAATCAACGATCTTCCAGCATCACACGACATTTGAAACCCTAGCAATCGAACCTGAGCTCAAGAACACATTGATCCGTGACCTAGACGCTTTCTCAAACGGAAAAGACTTTTTCAAAACCGTAGGACGAGCTTGGAAACGCGGTTATCTTCTTTACGGTCCACCTGGAACCGGAAAATCATCCCTTGTTGCAGCCATTGCTAATCACATGTGTTATAGTATATATGATCTTCAACTTCAGAGCGTTCAAGATGATGCAATGCTTAGAAAGATTCTTACTTATACCGAAAACCGTTCGATTCTTCTCATCGAAGATGTTGATTGCGGTGGAGCGGATGCTTCTTGCAGAGAGGAAAGTA